GGAAAAGGGTGAATAAGAAGGGAAGAAAAGACAAAACACTATAACGATAACTAACGAAAATGATAACAATAACAATTGAATCATACTACACTAACATTTATCCAATGATAACAATAATGCCAAAATAAATATAATATATATATCTATATACTATATACTATATATATATATATATAATATATATATATACGATATATAATAATATAAATACATATAAAAGATAACGAAAAGAAAAATTCATAAAACAAGTGATATAAAATATAACATTATAAACAATAATGATAATGAAACACGATGAAAATAATTATAGTACTACTAAACAATAACAGCTACTACTATTAGCAATAATAAATAATAAATTTAAACAGTTATAATGACATTAATAAAACGATTATGGTAATCATAATACCATGATAATAAGAATGCCAATTTACCTAATGATAATATAATAATGATAATAATATAATTGATATAATAATTGATAATAATAATATAATACTGATAATAATAAAATATAAAATAATATGATAATGATAATAAAACATAATAATAATAATGTAGCAAAATAATAATATGATACAAAAATAATATAATAATATAAAATAATGAAGTATAATATAAAATCATTGTCATCAATATTATCATCACTTTGTTATATTTTCATTAATATTACATCATACATCCATTATCATTATAATCTATATAATAAGGATGATATAACAATATAACAATAATGATAATAATGATAATGGTGATTTGAAAATAACAATAATAAATATAAAATGATAAAAAAATATAATAATGACAATAAAATATATATAACAACAATGATAATGACAATGATAATATATCAAATATGATGATAATATTGACATCAATGATTGTAACGAGAAGGACATCAACCACAGCAACAAAAATAATAATAGAAAGACGACTAATAGATCATTGATATCCCGATATGATGATAATAATGAAACAAAATACAATGATCAAAACACGATAAATTACTGCTTTTACAACTATCCCTATTGTGATCATAAACCTTAAAGATTCACATAGTTTGTAAACCCCAATATGGCAAATCAAAAGCAACTAAAAAAATATTAATAGATGAAAATTGGACAAAATATAATAAATGCAAGACACAAATATAATAAATTAAGAAAGAATAAGGGAGAGAAGAAAGAAGGGACCGAAGGGGATGGAGATGGAAAGGGAAGAATATGAGGATTTCGATAAAAAAAGGAAGAGAGAGAGAGAAAGATAGAGACAGAGAAAAAAGAGAGAGAGATGGGGGGAAAACAAAATAAATGATAATTCCCAACTGATAAATCCTCAGGACAACTCTACAGACAACAAGAGAAATAAAAAATAATAATAATGATGATAATGACAATGAATCATAAAATGGGACCATGACTCCTTGACCTCTTAGAAGACTGCGGGTCAGGGATCACAGAGGAAGGGGGAGGGGCGGTGGGGGGAGTAAGGGAGGAGGAGGAGAGTCGGGAGGAACGGGGGTGGGGAAGGGTTAAGGACAGGGGGAAGGAGAGGGGTGGGTGGGAAAGGGAAGGGAGGGGGACAAGGAAGGGAGGGGAGGGAAGCACAGGGGAGGGAAGCAAGGACAAGAGGGAGGAGTTGTGTGTGTGGTGTGTGATCGAATCCAGTAAGAAATGACCTGCCCCTCGTCTTTTCTTTGGATCTGCATTCACACACGCACATAAACACACACACGTACAAATACTCATATATACACACCCATACGTACAACTACACATACAAATACACACATACGTACAAATACACATATATACACACACATACACATACATACACAATAAAAAAAACATATGAACAAATATATAAACACAAAAGACAGACTAAAAAAAAAAACACACACAACAAATACACACACCATTAAACAAACAAAACAAAAAAAAAAAACACACACACAGACACGCAAAAACCAAGCACACACGCACACGCGCACACACGCCCGCAAATTTGCATACAGCCCCCGACGCTAACGGCTCCAGAGAGAGCGATGCCGAGATCCTTATCATCATGATTATCATTTCGACTCTAATCGCGTATCGTGTTGTGCTTTGATAAGAAACATTTACTAAATTAGGGGAGGTCGTTGTGCAAACAGCAGATGATTGTTGCTTTGGAATTGTATCATTGTGATATAGTGCATGCGAGGAGGGGAGAGGCAAAGGGGTGAGGAGGGAGGAGGGGGCAGGAAGGGCGGAGGGCGCAAGAGGTGCAGGGAGGGAGGAGAGTGAAGGGGTGAAACTGAGGCTAGGCGCTCGGGGGTATGCTGCGCGGGCCGCGGCTTTGTCGGGGCGCCGCCGACATGTCGGCATGGCGTGGGGGTGGGCGGGCGGGGGGGCGGATGGGCGGGCCTAGGCCCGGGGAGGGGGAGGGGGAGGCGGCGTCGGGGGGGCTCCTGGGCGGGTTGGCGTGCGGGGATCGCAGGGAGGTCGGAGAGCAGAGGGAGGAGTATGAGGATGGTGGAGC